AGATAAGCATAAGATATTTTGTTGTTATAAGAATTTATCAATTGATGTTCGAGATGAGATAAACAGAGTTTATCAATTGTTTGCTTCGAACAGTTTGATGTTATTTTGTGTATGTTTTGCTGAGTTTACTTTCAGGTAACAGTTTGGTTTGCTTGCATTAATAAAGATGCAATATATCTTATTATTATTAATTTCTGTTTCGATGAAATTAAGATATGCAAACAGTTGCTGACCTGCTGTCGCATTCTTCAGATGGTCGTTAGAGGTGACTAAATTTAAAACATTCAGCTCGTCTTTTCTTTCTAATACCTAATGCGTTGTTTGACAAATCTTTGACATAGGCCTAAGTGCTACGATCCAATTTAACTTTTCTATAATTGGGTTCATCTGGTATCAGTGATACCGGGTGGATGTCAAGCTATTATGCCCGGTTATGAAGTATAAATCTGCAATATAACAGCGCCCTTGACTAGCTCCGTCATCTGTGGATACTGTTCTCATATGAAAAACTTGATAGGAGGACAAAGAAACTAAACCCACTAACAAATAGGATGACATGGAACCTGGGTAACCATTTCGGATCATCACCAAGTCTGTTTTTGTATTCAGAATTTTTAATTGTGTTTGATCTGTGTGACTTTCCCATGTTATCAATTTGGATAAGTTAAGTGCAATGATGATTGAAATAAATACATTTACGAAATGAATTTTATGGATGCAGTTTAAGTAATTGTTCCGCTCTACTGTATAAAACTAATTTGTACACTCTTCAAGATAGTAGGTTGTAGACACTGCTGGTGGACTTAAAGTCCCCGAGGTTTGTCGTTATCTGCATGCCACGTGTTAATTCATTCGAACAGGTACACGGTTGGTTCAGAAAATACGCATATACTGAAATTCTAAAATTATACGATGTATGAAAATTACGAGCTTTATTTAATTACGGGGTTGCTGCACCTCCCCGTCTAGATTTTGACTTTTCTTTTGATCACTTTGGACTTTTCTTACTCGCCTCCTAAGTTTCAAAATTTAGGCCCTTAGCGTCATTGACGGATCCTTGAAGGACAAAACAGCTTTACAGTGTAGTATAATTGATTGTTTGGCTCTATTGTATCTAACTCTGAATATTAAAAGGTGCTATTCACTTGTGTGTCTTTTTTTACAATCTTGGGAAAGTGAACAAAAAGAAACGGAGTAGAATATACAACACATCTAAAAAATAGTTTACAATTTGTATCAATATACTAAAAATCGAAAGCAAATATAATTCCTTAAAATGTCCAAATACTTACAGTGTTGATTGTCCATCCTTGTTTAGTTGAAAAGCTAGATACCCATTGATAAATGATTACTATACAAGTTTTCGTGGTTATTGTATTTGATCATTGTGATGTATCAAAGAAATGAGTAAACATTGAAAGACATTTAAGGCTGGGTCCTTGACATAACGTGTAATTAGTTTATTTCATAAATGTGACTATACTAGTAATTTAGTTCTCATCATCCACGTGCTTGTTTAGACTTTATCTTCCTGTAAACACTGGGAAGTAATTTGAACAGGAGACTGGTTCACCCCGCCCTCAGACAGCTTGCTGTCCATTCCTCTAGCTCCAGTTACAAAGCTCAATTATTGGACTTAAAATAATTCGATTGTGTCTTGCGCGAGAGCTCGTTACGTGCATTTGTTTGTAATTTTTGTTCATAAGGAGAGTTAGTCAGATTTACGTACTAATCTTATGATTTTAGCGACGATACTTCATGGAGCCAGGAACATTAAACTCTATTTATCATTCCACGTTTGCCCTTCAGTCGGACTGCAATGGGGATGTGGAACAATTGTCAATCAGCGTCTGTATAGGATTAATCCTCTAACGTAACGTCATTCTACAAGCTGTGGAGTGTTTACCTTATGTTACAAACTCCGGCTTATTTGATTGATATTAATTGGAAATAATGTGTGTATAGGCTACTACATTTAATTTGACGTAGAAATGTGAGTTTCTACTTACTGGTTGAAAAATCGACCATATGATAAAAAGGATGTTAAATTCATGTCCTTTTGATATTGAATGTATTTAACTCATCCACATTTTTTTTCATTTCAGCTTGCCAAAGTTTCTCACTAAAATGAAGAATTCTTCGACTTGTTTTATAAACTTTCGTATCAAATGGAGACTCGTGTGAGATCTTATGTACATGATTTCTTAGATATTGCCAAAAAATTATCACTCTGAAATATTTTATCTTGGTGAATACAGACAGTGTTTATAATACCACAAGAGATATAACATCAAACTTTAGTATGAGGTTCTTGTCACGTGCTTTTTTTTTTTTTAATATTACCCCGCAGATTGAAATATATCTGTATATATAACACACAATCTTGTGATGCCCACGAAACCAACATCATCGACCGTTCAAGATAGAGGCAATTGTTTTGTCTTAGATACGCATCGGACCATTCAACTACCATGCCAGTATTCAAACTCGTCTAAAGTATAGTAAAATAAACATAAGTTCGTGTTAATTGTGAAGTTTCGTTAATATCTGTCGAGAAAGTCTTCCACTTAAGTGTTCGCAACGCGACTGAGTGAAATTCTGTTTATAGTGGTTACCGTGATATCAAGCTGATCACGCTAAATAATGGAAGTTTTCAGTGATATCCGAAAAGGATCTGACATAAACTTAATTTCATCGTCACATAAAGAAAGGGACACAAGTATTTGATTACTTATTTTCCGGTATGATACAAAGAAAACTCACATCTTACAATGCATTTAGCATTTTACAATATTTTACATGGAATTATCTATTAAACTTGATTTTAAATACCAGGATATTGTATAACAGATAACTGTATTGCTGTTCAAATATATTTATGAAAGTTCCATCTGAACGTGAAATCTGCGGATATGAATTTGGTGTCAAGTTGTACAATAATGTTGGTGAGTGATGGTAATTGGCTAACTTATATATTCATCATGGTGCAAAAAATAGATAGGAAAATGTATGCTTCACTCCAATGCAACGTGAAAAATCTGTCAGTTAATAAATAAATGATGAAATGTCGGAGGCCGTCAAGTTTCTAGAGAGGGAGGAAGGATTGAGCTTTCATGGTGTGAGGACAACAATCGTATATCTCTTGATTCTGTTGGCCCAGTAACTCTAGCGTCACGCCATGACTGGTAACCGTTTAACGCACGGTTTCAATGGCAATAGGAAATCTGAACTGTAATTGTACTTGTTGAACTTTTGTTTTACTAGAAGTTCACCGAAAGAACTATTTGCAATGACTGAAACGTGGCATTATTGGAGAGACATTCTTTTCTAATCAGTTCTAGTGTACACGAGCTCGAGAAAACAAGGAGGACTTGCATTTCGATATTCGCAGTCCTATGAAACTAAAATTTATCATGTCAGATTGAATCGCCAAGTTGTACTTCACAATAACGGAAAAAGTGGCTACCGAGTGAAATCAGCGTATAAATTTGGCAATGTGTTAAATTGTTTTTACTGTAACGACTAGACTTGTAATATTTGGATAGTGAATGACGCTTTGGTCCAGTTTTCCTATTATGATCCTTTTACATACAAACACTTATCACAAACTCATAAAGTAATGAAAATGTAGACAGGTCAGGTGTATATATAAACAGGTAAGAAATTAATGTACACAGACAGGTAAGATGTGTTAATGTCTGCCAGGTGTATCCCAGGTAGGTGTGTCGCCCAAACCCTCTCATACACTCTTAACTACACCTCCCGTCCTCTAGGGCAAACAAACTCATTTATTTTGATAGTGTATGGAGCACCTTAACAAGATCAAAGTTGACAAAAATATTATAAACAACACGTTCATTTCTCACTTATGGCCTAATCCGCGAGCCACTTGACTCTGTTGTGAGTACCTGGGTAGACAGACAACCGGGCCCTGGAGTGGCAGGCAAACATGGAATGACTACGCGCGGGCTGTTACGGCTAATATAGGCAAAGTGAAAGTAGAGGCTCAGTGGCTCCACCCCAAGTGTAGGATCTACAGGTACATGTATATATATAAATAAACAGAAGATTTACTAACTGCCGCTCCGTCTAAGATATCACTTAAAGGGGGGAAGTGCTATCATCTATGTCTTCTCAGAACATGCCAACCGAATGAACGTGATTTAATGACAAAAAACAACACTAAAAGATCAGATAAAGATAACAAAACAGAAAAACAAAAGAAGAAGAAAAAATGCATAAAGTAAAAATTTACGAAAAAAATGGAAACAGATTTTCACTATTTATATCTGTCGTTATTTAAATACATAAAAAACAATTTACACATGTTTTGATATATGGTTTTCAGAAAGGAAATAGAGAGGTAAGAGAAGGAACAGACAAACAATATCACCTATGGCATTTATCGGTTGTATGGCGGTATATTTCTATTCACATTTTATATATGAATATAAATATTTACTTGTAAAAGTAAGGTCCCTGTGCCCCCCCCCCCCCCCCCCCGCCCCCGTCAAATGCTGGTAAAAACTTAAGACACATATACACACATTTTACTTCATATACAATAAAATGTCCTCTGTTCGATATAGAAACATACAATACAAATTGGGCGTAACTTTTTGTTGTGTTAATTCAGTTCAATAATGTGACCTTAAGTAGGGTTTACAAGCAAAGTTACGTTTTTTTAAATCTCCTGTTCTTCTTTTTTATTATTTGTTAACGTAAGCATTCCACAAAAAATTTCAAAAAAGGTGTTGACAAACAATTTTTAAAAATGTGAATTTAATCAAACAGATAAAATGAATGCCACCAAACTACTTTTCAAATTATAAATATTCTACTTTCAATTTCACCGTACAAATTTCTACTTTCGTTTCACGACGTAACCCTAATGGGCCTCGTGATATTCGACCAATCAACGCTACGTTTACATTCAGATCGGAAGTGGATATATCTCATATGGCGGGGGTTTCGGAAATAGCTGACGGGGGATTAATCCATAGAAATTAATATTAAGCCAGTAACTCAACCCAAACAATGAATGTACGTTCACGTTTTACATTTGTTAGGCGTTAAATTTATGATGACAAATGTCCGGCATCTAAATGTAAACTTAATGCAACACATCGGAGAATTATCTCGATGTGTTATGATTTCAGCACTGCTGTTAGATTCGCGTTTGGAGATACAGCAATCTCGCCTAAATCACATTTTGTAATATTGACTGATCGCCATCTCGCCCATTAGAGAAAGTTAGATTGGATTGTAACCAACTCCAATTTTATGACCATAAAATAATTTACCAAAGTTCCAGAGAAAGTCAAGTCCAGTTTTAGGAACGATTGTCACCAGTATAAATGTAAACTAGACTCGATTGATCATATTGTTGGATAGTTTTATAATTCAAAAGATAAACTTAATTCAAATTTTGCATATAAATAAACAACAATCTAGCACACCCACAGTAACATGAAAATTGTAAGTGCACATATATTTGGACAAGGAGTGTTATTTCCAACCAAATCAAGACTTGTCATCCCCACTCTGAAGTTAGCACTGAAATAACATAATCTGCAATACATATTTTTTCAGAATAAAACACAGTTCTTTTATGTGTAAATTCATCAGCAATATTCACCATGGCTGCAGAAGAGAAGAGGATGATACATGGGATGCAAGTTGTATTCCCTTGTAAACCATATCCGTCGCAATTCAGTATGATGGAAAAGGTAAACATTGTACTTCATTAATTACTAAGAAGGAAAAGATATGACAATCATGCCATAGATTGATATGACAGAAATGGTCAAACATGTGCATAACCTCAATTTAGTAAGACAATAATTTTAAAGCAGATAATTGAACTACACTTCACAGTTCAAAATATTAGTTAAAAATACATTTAGCATCATTATAGTAATGAATGAGATTGAAATTGTATTTATTCATCATGATGTACTATAAAGTGTTGGACACACATTATGACTTATGTTTTCAATGTTGGTTTGTATCGTTTCAGGTGATCAAAGGGATAGAAAGAAAACAGAACTGTTTATTGGAAAGTCCTACAGGAAGTGGGAAAAGTCTGGCTCTATTATGTTCTGCTCTTGCCTGGCAAACAGCTGAATATGGTAAACCTGAAATAAAATGCTTTTACTGTAACCATACAGCATCAGACAAGTATCACAGTGGAGTACCACTAGTAATTGTTCACTAGTGATAGCAATCAAAGACAGTCATCAACAGTGCAAAGTTATTGGAAATAGAGCGCTGAGCACTGAATTGATATACAGGATCACAAATAAGCATTGAAATAACATGTTCAGATGTCCTAGTGAATTATCTATTATGAGCTCTTGTTTATTTGTCAATTGTATTTTTCTTCTACTTTCTTCATCAATATCCAATCATGTATTAGTTTTTGACACTAACAGGACGAGAGGTGGTGAACTTGTGCACATCTCCCATAATTTTTTCTAAACTGTCCAATTTGTCTAGCACCTTTAAGTGACAATAGTCAGAATGATATGATCTTATTAGATTGTCTTTCCAACACATAACCCAGTGGGACAGTAATTGTGGTGTATTAGAAAATTTTGAAATAAGAAACATAGCATATTATAGTGTTTATGTAGAAGCATATTATAGTGTTTATGTAGAAGCATATTATAGTGTTTATGTAGAAGGAAATTTGAAAGAATTGGTGACCTGATTATGTTAATCATTCAAGGACTGATATTTTTCTTCTCAGCATATCTCAGTTTGACTGAGATTTAGTTTCACTAGATCAGAAAAGTATGAGATTCTGTTGAACTTAGTCTCAGGAAACCTCAAGGCTAGATTCTGTTGAACTTCGTCTTAGGAAACCCTCGATGCTAGATTCTGTTGAAGTTAGTCTCAGGAAACCCTCAAGGCTAGATTCTGTTGAACTTAGTCTCAGGAAACCTCAAGGCTAGATTCTGTTGAACTTCGTCTTAGGAAACCTCAAGGCTAGATTCTGTTGAACTTCATCTTAGGAAACCCTCAAGGCTAGATTCTGTTGAAGTTAGTCTCAGGAAACCCTCAAGGCCAGATTCTGTTGAAGTTAGTCTCAGGAAACCCTTGATGCTAGATTCTGTTGAACTTAGTCTCAGGAAACCCTCGATGCTAGATTCTGTTGAACTTAGTCTCAGGAAACCTCAAGGCTAGATTCTGTTGAACTTCGTCTTAGGAAACCCTCGATGCTAGATTCTGTTGAAGTTAGTCTCAGGAAACCCTTGATGCTAGATTCTGTTGAACTTAGTCTCAGGAAACCTCAAGGCTAGATTCTGTTGAAGTTAGTCTCAGGAAACCTCAAGGCTAGATTCTGTTCAACTTCGTCTCAGGAAACCCTCAAGGCTAGATTCTGTTGAACTTAGTCTCAGGAAACCTCAAGGCTAGATTCTGTTCAACTTCGTCTTAGGAAACCCTCGATGCTAGATTCTGTTGTACATAGTCTTAGGAAACCCTTGATGCTAGATTCTGTTGAAGTTAGTCTCAGGAAACCCTTGATGCTAGATTCTGTTGAAGTTAGTCTTAGGAAACCCTCGATGCTAGATTCTGTTTAAGTTAGTCTCAGGAAACCCTTGATGCTAGATTCTGTTGAACTTAGTCTCAGGAAACCTCAAGGCTAGATTCTGTTGAAGTTAGTCTCAGGAAACCCTCAAGGCTAGATTCTGTTGAACTTAGTCTCAGGAAACCTCAAGGCTAGATTCTGTTGAACTTCGTCTTAGGAAACCCTTGATGCTAGATTCTGTTGTACATAGTCTTAGGAAACCCTTGATGCTAGATTCTGTTGAAGTTAGTCTCAGGAAACCCAGAAGACTGGCGATGTCATTTTATATCTTGTTTTATTTGTTTGTTTAGAAAAGAAAAGAAAATCAGAAGAAGCAGAAGCAGCATTGATGTCTAATGAATCAAGTAAATATTTGTGTGATGTTTTACTGGACAATTAGTACCTTTATACAGAAGTTGGGATAGAACTGCTTTTCATTTTGAAATCGTTCTAGACAGAAGCTTTCATTAATTGGTCGACTCAGTAAATGTATATCCTTCAATGGAAGCCAAATTATGTTAAAATGATATTGTCTTTATCAAGTCAAAGGATCAGTGCAATATATTAAAGAAAATGTTAAGAGCACTCTTCATAGATATTGCAACAAATAGCTGTATTTGCTGTGTCTCATAGTACCAACATGTAATGTAGATGATTTTCTGTCAGTGGTTACTACTGAATTGTCAACATGCAACTGGTTTGAGGTTTGCACTTTTAAACATTAACAAGTTAAGTTTTGTTTGGCTTTAATGTAAATACAAGACAGCCTCCATAAAATCTGCTTTGTCAAGGTATTTTTGACTGATATTGAGGTCTACCATGATCAGACTATTGTTTTATCTTTACTTTGGTTTCTTCTCCATGTTACATCCAAAATCTGTTGATATAATAATTGTGTATAAGACAATATTTGTCTCCCTTTAATGATGTCAATTTTGTCAGTGTGTTCAATGTTGATCACTATTGTGTTTATACTGATTCAGAATTATTTATGTCCACTTTTACAGAAAATTGTACATGTCAGAAATCAAAGGAAGTAACACCTCCAAACATTGGCACTGATGATGTGCATTCAACACAGGGTAAGTACTTCACTGTATATGTTTAATGTTCATGCAAAATGACACCCAAAAATCTAAAGCTTGATACTGGTGTTGGCTTCTCCTTTCTAATTACTGTGATGATGAAATTGAGCTGTGATATGATGTGTACGTTGACACCTCCATTGACTATATCATTTTCGATATGCCACTAAGTAATAATTACTGCTGAACATGCAAAATATCAAGATATCAACAATACCTTATTTGACCTGTCTCAAGTGAATAAAATGTGAACATGAATTTTTAAAATGTTCACTTATTAAAAACCAATGATTTATAACAAAATTAGCAATGAGTAGAGGCCTTTGTCTCTTTCTATAAAGAAATTACATTCGAAATATCATTGACAACATGACAAACAAGAGGCAGCTTGTGTAGCAGCTATTTAGAGGGATTATGATAGTGTGATATTGTATTGAAATGGCAAAGGGTTATTAAGAAAATACAATCAAAAGGCAAACTTCATGCTTCAATATGCATGTCAATGATTGCTTCACCTCAACCATTCCTAAGTTTCTCTATTTATGTTGATGTGTTACACTGTGTACTTATATCTTCTGATGATAAATGGTTACCTTATCTCGCTAGATGTGGTCCAGGTGGCTGCTGAACTGATATCTGTTGGGGACAGTGATGACGATGACTTCAAAGGTTCCTCCACTAAGTTTAAAACACCTGGAAACTCTGATAAGGTAGGCTATCTATAATATGAGTTGATCAATAAAGTGGTGTTATTTTGATAAAATGGGTCTTCCTTGCATTATGCAGCATTTCTGTTTGAGCAACTTGTTTTGTAAAGATTGTGATGCCCGAGGTGTTGTAAATACTGTGATGCCCGAGATGTTGTAAATACTGTGATGGCCGAGGTTTTGTAAATACGGTGATGCCCGAGGTGTAGTGAATACTGTGATGCCCGAGGTGTTGTAAATACTGTGATGCACGAGGTGTTGTAAATACTGTGATGCCCGAGGTGTTGTAAATACTGTGATGGCCGAGGTTTTGTAAATACGGTGATGCCCGAGGTGTAGTGAATACTGTGATGCCCGAGGTGTTGTAAATACTGTGATGCCCGAGGTGTTGTAAATACTGTGATGCCCGAGGTGTTGTAAATACTGTGATGCCCGAGGTGTTGTAAATACTGTGATGCCCGAGGTGTTGTAAATACTGTGATGCCCGAGGTGTTGTAAATACGGTGATGCCCGAGGTTTTGTAAATACAGTGATGCCCGAGGTGTTCTAAATACTGTGATGCCCAAGTTTTTGTTAATACTGTGATGCCGGAGGTGTTGTTAATACGGTGATGCACGAGGTATTGTAAATACTGTGATGCCCGAGGTTTTGTAATACTGTGATGCCTGAGGTTTTGTAAATACTGCGATGCCCTAGGTGTTGTAAATACTGTGATGCACAAGGTGTTGTAAATACTGTGATGCCCGAGGTTTTGTAAATACTGTGATGCGCGAGGTTTTGTAAATATGATGATGCCCGAGGTGTTGTAAATACTGTGATGTTGTAAATACTGTGATGCGCGAGGTGTTGTAAATATTGTGATGCCAGAGAGCAGTTTGACTACCACAAGAACCATTTTCAGTTTACAGTTTAGCTCCACTCATTTCCATATTTGTAAGCGATTATAGTTTGCATTGAGTTATTGAAAGTATGCATCACATTATCATAATGCTGCTTCCTATTTTAGAGATATAAATATTAGTGTATAGTGGAAGGTATTGATACAATCTTCCTTTTGAAAATGACACTCAGATATGACATCATGTTTAAAGAATGCTGGAGTTATTTAATTTAAAACTAAAACATGTTTTGCATGATTTATTTAAGCGAGGAAGTAGGAAGAAAACACATACTCTTAAAAGCTTAAGTACATATATATAACCTATGATTTTTCAGACTTAATTGATCAACTCTGTATGAAGTTTTATCAAAATGATCAGATATTTTTGTCTTGTTAAACTGTCAGTTTACTTATGAATTATATATACTAAGGGCTCATAGAGTTTCTGTTATGTTTCAGACAAAAGCTAGGCGGAGCCACCAGAGCATTGCCTATGAAACATCCCCTCCCATGGGTGAGGAACCAAGCTGTGGAGACAATAATGTGTGCTGTGCATGTTCCTGTAAACAGGAGCCAGTCACTGCAGTGAGGAAGTAAGCCAATATTGTATTTATGTATATAAACTATCACCATTGTCATTGTTACAGTAGTTTAGTTTGCACCTTAAAGTGGACTGGAAGTCAATACATTGATCTGTTGTGACACTAGATGTTGATGTAGTTATCTGTGATGTAAAAGGTATCTTCTGTCACAGTCAGTGGAAACCAACAATCTTTGTTTTTAGAGTTGTTGCCCTTTGTTTACTTTGCTTACAATCAATTGCCAGCATTCCATTGAATTTCACTAACTTTATGAGTATGATCAGGTTAAAAATGTTTACCTTGAGCATGTGTAAAACACAGTAGAAGGAACAATTTAAATACTTGGTGGGAAGGGTTTCTCCCTGTGTGATAGACTTCAATACTGTTTGGTGATATCTGATATAAACAGATCAAGAAGTTGTTGAAATATTCAAGTGCTGATGTTAGATGCAAACATCAGTTTTCTGTCCTATTTCTGTGTTTATTTAATCATCATTAGGCACTTCTATGAGCAGGGTTTTCCATGATTTTGTTAGTAGTAGGCTGTGTAGTGAAAATAGGAGGCTGGCCTGTCGTGTATGTGTAGTCGTGTACGGAAGGTTATTACGGAACTGGATTGGTGTAGGTGGCCAAATGATCAAAGTAGCCGGTCAAATTGGCCGGCGACCGGCTCTTATGGAAAACCCTGTATGAGTGAACTTCATTTTGGAAGTAATTGCACAGCTGATTTCTACTGTTGTAGTGTAGTTCTGTTGAAGTAATACAATACTGTAATCCAGCCATTTTTTCATGACTACTAACTTTATGATAAGTTTGGTTTACTTTTGCAAGATCTAAACAAACATTGTAAAACTTGAAGTTTACATTCTTCATCTAAACCTCATCAGGATCCCAGTTTAGGTTGCTATTTCTGGGGGCTGTGAAGGCCCAAGTATGGATCCCATTTCCAGTCACATTTAAATCATGTGGATAAATTTTCAAAAGATATACTGACATGCAAAGAAACACAACCTCTATTTAAATATTGTTAATAATAATAAACTATTGTAAGCAGTTTTAAATAGCATTATATCATACACATTCCTCATCTACTGACCTTGTGTCTCAGAGACATCAATACATGACCCCATCAGCACATGCACAGGTATACGTGACAGCATTTTTTTGTATTCTTTGACATGTCTACATCCTTCAAGTATCTGACATTAAAAGTCTGATATTGGATATTGTTTGCTATTGTGTAAAGGATGTCAAGGCTACACTGTACCTAATGATGAACACAACAGGGCAGTGTTGTTACTGTTTGCTGAAAATACCTGAAATGCTTTGCCAAGAGCAGTGAATGTCTAGAGAAACTCATTATCTTGTCTCTGCAGCCACCTTAGACTAGTTGAAATGAACGCTGGCCGTCCTCGAGCAGGCTTACCAAATGTTACAATTCCTCATCCTGAGCATTTCATAGGTTGCAGCACTTGCACAACTGGTTGAGAATCACAACCTGCAAAAGTGGGAATGCCCCCTAATCATCATTGATGTGATGTTAGACTCTAATGCAAATGAGTTTCCTCGGCAAAGATGGTGCTGGGTACTCTTCCCTGTTAAGTAATAATTCCAGTTGTACAGTCCATGTTGATACCAGTGTGTATATCAGCTTTGTGGTGATTGTTATGTGGATAAATGCATCGTAGAATGTAACAGGTTTGGTTATGGTAGTGTTTTTGTGTGGGGCGAGATCTGTAGCAGCAGCAATAATTACACGGTCATCATTGAAGGCAATTTGACAACTCTTTGATACGTTGACACTATTCTGCAATCTGTTATCATACTGTTTATCTGCCAGTGCTACATAATATTTCAACATGACAATGTTTGATGTCTGGTGGTGCGATGAGCAATGGAATTTCTTTACCAAAATATTGTTGACAAGTTACCTTTACTTTCCTAATCTCTGTCCAAATGGTCTTGTGTGGGACATATTGAATTGACGCCTTTGAATACCCCCAAAATGAACAGAGAACTTACCCACTCTGCACCAGGCACTTCTGGTAAAGTGGAAGAAAATCTTTGTTGCACAAATAAACAGTGCAAATGAACTCCATGAATTCAAGGAACAACAAATGCTAACAGGGGAATACTTGTTATTGAAGTTGGAAAATTTTAATGGCTATCACAGCTTCAGCCTTGACATTCCATGCTGAAGGGATGATGGCTTACTCTAAATTCACCATGTTTTCCAATAGAATAGGTGTATATCTCTAATTGTGTTGCAGAAGTAAAATGATACATTTAAACAGAATAATGACAATAATACAAAAACAAATTGGGAGGTTGCCTTTTTTCTTTTTTTGTGTGGTGGGGGGAGGGGGGCTCTCAATATATGTTCTACACCATAGAATCTTGTTTTGAATTGATAAAGTTTCTGTCTAAAATTAGATAGGCCCTAGAAAGACATAGGTCTAGTTCGTAGAACAGAATGACATTTGACGCTTCATGAGCATTCAATGAGATACCATATCCAGACAAATTGAACAATCTTATAATCAATTAACTTCCAGATCAATACAATGTCTCAGGCTTCTCTGTTCATAGCAAGTGAAAATTGATCACAGTTATCTGAAAACTTGTATGACTTATAGGTGACATAATGAACTCAAACATTCTAGTGATCTTTATCTGAGAGTTACAAGGGATTAATAAAGACAAATTTTACTACTGGAGAAGGATAGTATTCCCCAAATGGTATGCGTTCCCCTCTAAATATAAGCAAATTAATCATCGAGAAAATGTACTAACACCATGAGAAAATTTCCCTGAAATTGTGAACATCTTCCACAAAACAGACCTTATTGGTATATTATATTTAAATTCTCAAATCATGCAATCATGAATAGAAAAAAACCAATGTAATTTAACCTCAACATTGTCATATTTCATTCATGTAATTTTCACGTACGATATGTCATATATAACCCTATTCCTCTTCTGATTTCTGACCAAAATCCGAAATTCATCCTTTTCTCAAAATAGACCAAAAATTATCGTTGTTCAATAGTGACTGGCATTCCCCAAATTCTACATTAGCTCATAGTTACTAAACAAAAATAAAACACTCAAGGGAAGAAATTGTCTGTGACACTGAAAACTAGCAACTGATTCAATAAACATGATGCTATAGCTATGTATGTATGGAGATTTGAGAAAAACTGCACATACGGTAGATTAACATGCCAACTGTTATTAATCATCAAATGTAAAAAATGAAAGTCCGTGTTTATTATCCACTTTGATTTGTAGTAATGAATTTTCATGGTTTTGCTTCATTCACAAAATTTGCATAAATGGATTATAAACTTGTACATTTCATTGGGGTGCACATTGCTGACAGATTTTGCTGTATAATAGAGCCAGCTTCATTTGTTGGAAAAACTTTATCAGGTTTGATAAAGATGATAGATGTATTAATTGATAATAGTGATGATTAGAACAGTAAACTATCTAATTGATTTCTTGGCTGCCATCAGCTGTCAAGCTTATAGCTTTACGATCAGACAGAGTGAAACAAAGGGCAGTAACTCTGTGAGATCAGAATGCCTAACTGTGACTTACTTTGATGGTCAAGGGAAAGAAGTAAGGGAGAAGATTGTTGTCAACAACTCATGATTTATATCTTATATATCTGAAAATCAACATTTTATCAGGTACACATTTTCCATTTATTTAAGTGTGGTATATTCCATCTGTATGCTTTCAATATCCCGATTAGCTGAAGGAATCACAAAATCTGTATTTCTTGACTCAAAGTATTTTCTAGCTTTGAAGTCATATATATGTATACAGCATATAAAAAAAAGCATGATATATCGCTGTCACATGCATGCTGAAACTGTGATATCTTAACAGAAACATGGTATACTATTTTTAATATTAACGCTTCATTCAGGGTTTCTGAAAGAAAAACTCAGATTTCTTGATTTTGTGTTTAGAGTGTAAATGCTAGCAATATGCATTGTTGGCATTTCCAATGATAGTATTACAAAGCTTTCATGTCAAAAATCACCTGTTTCCTTATAAACTTTTGTGAAAATTATAAAAGTTAGTCTCTTTTGAGATGAACAGAACAATGCTATCAGTCAGGCATATCGGTGATTTTATCCTGATTTGACGTCAGATACTGATAATTCTTATAGCAGATAATGGAATCGTGTCTAGATTTTATACTCCCACCCACAAACTGCGGATAAATAACTCCAGATCTGTGTAGGATTATTAATGTATGTGTGGAAAAACTTGTACATAGATATAATAAAAAAATTATTATCAGAACATGAATCACCTGTGAATGATTATGAAATGTAGAAATAGCTGTATTAGACAAGAAGTCTGAGGAATGTTTTAGTGAATTTGGATAGAGTACAGTACAAATCATTGTATAGGGCCAAACAAAAACTGGCCGAGACCTGACACTTTCCCACTACATTACATCGAGGTAAGAGTGCAAATGATCTCCATAAACTTGTATAGGCATTCCGTCATCCTAAAACGCCAGTCATCTGCACAATGTGACAAGCGGAGGAGGGCATTTATACCTACTTGTGTAAATTAGCCTGAAAAAATATACAATTTAACATTGTGATATGAGAGATTGTACTATGACACTGAGCAAGTCCACCTGGTGTTCGCTGTACTGATTATCATCCAAGAATGATAACTCTTCACACAATTATAATGAAATACTATATGTGCCATTCATGCATTACAGATTCATTTTTACTTGTAAAATGAATAGTGACCCCCTGTGTGTTTATGTTTGTACTGTCGTTAATGTCGGTGCTGATGGCAAGAGAGAGTGTCAGTGGGTTGGTGGTACCTCTCCAGGGCTCTGTATTACCGGATCCCATACTAATTAAATTTCAGCAAAAAAAATATTTTCCTACTGTAATGATGAGATGACACAAAATTTGCTTCATTATTTTTTAACTTATTGTTGTAACTTTGTTATTATTTCGAGATAT